TCTCCAGTTAAACATCTGAAAATCCAAAATCAAAAGCAAAGCTTTCTTCTCTACTAAACTCTTAAATACACATACACCTTACCAGCATGTATTTGTCCCCCCGAGGTGATGAAAACTCTTATTCCAATAAAATGGTGCTGCTGTGCATATATATTACATTTAACTTTAGATATCTCTTATTTTACTTCATATTGAGCTAAAGTTATAATTTTTCCTTATTTAACACAATTAGCCCTTCGCTTGCCAGAGGTCCACGCCGTAGGGACTGAAAGATTGAACGCCCGTACCCTGATAAAATAGATATGCTTATAGCATAACATCTTGCCTGAGCTAATAAAAGTCTAAATGTGGTCACTTGAGACAAAGAGCATTATTATTATTATTATTATTGCAATTTATTTAGCGCCAACAGATTCCGTAGCGCTTTACAAAATTATTTGGGAATTTGACTATAAATAGGACAATACAAGAAAACTTACAGAAACAAAGGGTTGAAGAGGGCCCTGCTCAAACGAGCTTACAGTCTATAGGAGGTGGGGTATAAAACACATTAGGACAGGGAAAGGAAGTCAAATTAGGTGGGAGTGGAGCAGAGCTGGAGGAGAGAGTAGAGTGCTTCCCTTTAGGAGAGAGAGCAAGAGAAAGGTATGAGAGGTAGAGGTTAGTCTGGGAGGCCATGGGCTTTCCTAAAGAAATTCGTTTTAAGGCACTTCTTAAATGATTGAAGACTAGGGGAGAGTCTGATGGCGGTAGGCAAGGATGGGACCCGCCTGCGAACGAAAACTCCTGCAAGCGCGAGTTGGCTGTACGGGTACGAGCGGCGGACTGAAGGTGGTCACAGGCAGAGCGGAGGGACCGAGAAGGGGCATACCTATGGATCTGTGAGGAGATATAAGAGGGGCTATGATAATTCAGTGTTTTATAGGTATGGGTTAGCACTTTGAATTGACTCCTATAGGATACAGGAAGCCAATGTAAGGACTGACAGAGGGGTGAGGTGTGAGAGGACCGACTAGAGAGGAAAATCAGTCTGACGGCAGCATTCAATACAGACTGTAGCGGGGCAATGCGGCTATTGGGAAGACCAATTAGGAGAGAGTTACAATAGACCATGCGAGAGATTACTAGAGCATGGACGAGCTCTTTAGTAGCATCTTGTGTAAGAAAGGGGCGGATGCGGGCGATGTTTTTGAGGTGGAACTGGCATGATTTGACAACAGACCGGGTGTGAGGCTCAAAGGTGAGGCCAGAATCAAAAGTAACACCAAGACAACATGCTTGCAAGGATGTGCTGATATGGGTACCACCAATCTGAAGGGAGAGCGAGAGAGGATTAATATTAGGAGGAGGAAAGACAAGAAGTTCTGTTTTGGAAAGATTCAGTTTCAGAAAGCGGGAGGACATCCAATCAGAGATAGAAGAAAGGCAAGAGGTGACACGTTGCAGGACATCAGGGGAGAGGTCTGAGGAGGAGAGATATATCTGGGTGTCATCAGCGTACAGGTGGTATTTGAATCCAAAAGAGGGAATAAGCTTGCCAAGAGAGGCAGTGTAAAGAGAAAATAGAAGGGGACCAAGGACAGAGCCTTGAGGGACTCCAGCTGTCTATAATAGAGCAAGCTTTATTGCATATGTGACAATACTCATTTTGAGGCCTAAATCTACACATTCCAGGCTGGCTCAGGGTGATGAGAAAATTACTCTGAAACTGCTCCATAAGCCCACTGGGACTCAATGAATCTAGGAGTTACTTTTAGTTCCTCCAAAGCAGGAGAGGAGGGTCTTTGGAAACTCTGAGTATAAACCCCTCTTCTCCCCAAAGTAGGAAAGCAAACACAATGGAAATAAAGATGGATGGAGTAGTGGCAAATATAACAGTGGAGTAGCCAGAGTAGCTATATTTAGCATTCTATATCTTTTTTTGTTTTAACACAATTTGAATACAAGTAATGGTGATGTCTGTATAACATATACACAACATTAAAGTGTATATTATGGGGAAATTATGCCATTGAGGGATTCTGGAAACATTTATAAACCACTTAATATTCTATGTGATATCTCCAGAACCCACGTTATGTTTCCATAATACACACTTCTCTGTTAAGCATCGCCTCTATCTCCTCAATGGCTACTATCTGTAGGAAGGTGATCTATCATTTACTCATGTTTTTAACAAATTACAAACCTCCATCTGTTGCATTAGTCACAGACCTTTCTTCATGAAGACTATTTTACTGATAAATGAATCAGCTACTTAACCTAAAGGCTTAAGAGCAGTTGTATTTTATATATAGGGTACACTCCTTTTACATGTGCGCTCTGAAATCTACTCTGAAATTCTGAATGAGAGCGGCGCCATCTGCTTTTTCTTCAGCAATGCCGTACACACACAGCTCCATGCGTATACTATTTCAGGGGTAAACTCCTTAACATACCATTCCTAATATGCCTGGCAAGGCATGACAATTAAAATAAAACTGAAACCAGTGAGAGAAGAGGGCTTCTATCAAGATGGGCCATTGAAAGATCCATCTGTCCATTCCAAAATATAGATGGATAGGCTACTATTTAAAATATGATTTTAGGTCCTACACAGCTATGATAACTACCCACTAGGTGTCACTCTTGTTCCAAACCCATGCAAATGAAATAACTACCTGCACAATTGGATTTGCTACAGTCTTTTCTAATCTATAGCAGATAACTTATTTTCACATATTTTCCTAACACTATACAGGAATCTCGAGTACATTTTACTCTGCGTTCACGGTATGTGTTCAACATATGGAAGACTAGTGTATGCTGTCCCATACATTAATTATAAATGAATAACATTCATGTGGTGAATTCATAACTGAATTCCTGAGTTTAGGTTAAAAAAGAAATCACTTAAATAAAATAATATTTTTTAATAAAGCTGCTTTTCAACTTGGCTGTTTTGACTTTAACTTTGCTCAGTGGTTTTTAATTTAATGTATTTTACTGTGTAGTAAATAGACTTTAAATATAAAATATAGGAGGGGTAAACCATACAGTTCTCAGCTGTTTATGAGTTAAATTACTTTCTTTATGCAGCCCTAGTCACACCTCTGCATGGGCATGATCTATACATCAATGTATATACAATGTTGTATGAGGTCACTATAAATATTGGGTGGTATCTCTCCTAAATGACTGTTAGGGTGCGGGTGAGAAATAGAGTCATAATTTCTATATACCAGTCTTGGCACTAATACTCTTTGGAGAAGTTAAAGGGACACTACAGTCACCAGAACAACTACTGCTTAATGTAGTTGTTTTGGAGTCTATAGCATGTCCCTGCAAGCATTTAATGGAAACCCTACCTTTTCAGATCAAAAGCAGTGTTTACATTACTGCCTAGTAAAACCTCTAGATGCAGTCACTCAGACGCTACTTGAGGTGCTTCCTGGGTCAGTCCTGCACAGCGTGCAGCACTGGCATTCAGCATCTCCACGTTCTGCATGGAGGCACTGAATGTTCTCCATAGAGGTGTATTGATTTCAATGCATCTCTATGAGGAGATGTTGATTGGCGCCATGCACGCACAATAACCTTCCAGTGCTTTCCTATGGGAAAGCATGGGATTGCCTGAGATCCTCAGGTTTGATGATCACAGCCAAAGGGACAGACTGGGGGCGGGGTCAGCCGTGAGGAGTAAATCACCTTTTGAATGGTGTGCTGGGGACCTAAACAGCTATTTTAAACCTAGTTTATTACCAGTTCCTGGTAATGGGGCAAACCGTTTTGACCTCTTACATGGTTCACCTCGCTTCTCACCACTTTGTATTCCTGACACTATAGTGTTCCTTTAACTTACACCATTGTCACATTAAAATAATATATATAGAACCATGTGGTACATAGATTGCAGAAAGCAAAATAGTTGATTGTTTTTATAATTTTGGAAAAAGTGACACATTTCCACATTGCTTCTCTATATTACAAAGAATCCTGACATATGAATTTACCCTTTCTTTCATCAGCAAATATGTAAGATACCTAAGTACTTAGGTGCTAGTGGACTGACTTTATAAGAGCTGACAGAATACAAAATCTTGTACATGTGGAATGTTTGCTTTAAATGCATTAAAGAAATGTATAAAAGATGCCTGAGGTACTGCACAATTCCTAACATGTAGCTACACACTCAAAATTTTGGGGATGCTTTTGCCTATACAGTGGCACTTTGTTACTTTTTCACAATAGTTACAGTTCAACTAGGCATTTGTTATATCATATTTAAAGCAATAAAATTAGAAATATATATTACAATCTAACACGGTCAACACTAGTATCTAATTAGTGGTGTATCCTGGTTTTGGGCAAAACTCAGGCACCCCTCAACCCCCCCCCAGCGCCTTCTAAATACACACACACACATTCACACAGTAGATAAGCATACACTAGCTAACAGAAACACACACTCACTGACACACACAGACACACACTCACTCACTAGCAGACACACACACTCACAGGCAAACAGACACACACAGTCAGACACACACAAACAAACACACTCACTAGCAGACACACACACTCACTGAAACACACACTCACAGGCAAGCACACACTCACTAACAGACACATACTAGCAGACACACACTAGCAGACACACACACTCACTGACACACACTCACAGGCAAACACACACACACACACTCACTAACAGACACACACACTAACAGACACACTCACACACACTAACCGACATACACACACACACACTCACTCACATTAACACCTTTTTTTTTTACCCCCTCCCGCCTCCTTACCTTTTGGATTGCAGGGGGGTAAGGGGTTCTCTATCTCCCTGGGGGTTCCAGTGGCTGCTTGGCGGGCGGACAGGCGGCATGACGTCATATTCCGGCTCCCAGCCTCACTATGCGGCGTGCGAAGGAGCTGAGCAGACCGCTCAGAGGAAGTGCTCCCTCGCCAGACGCCCGACAACGCCGCCCGCCCAGCCCAGCATGTTAGTTAGCCGCAAGGCTAACAAGGCATTTGTCGTGGGCATTTGTCCTGGAAAATGCTGCCCAAGACAAATGCCTTGTTTGCCTCGCGGCTAAAACGTCCCTGTATCTAATTACAAATTGTTCTGACATCAATAGTGTTGCTCAATGGGTGGGATTGAAATAAGTAACATAAGAAAGCTTTAACTCCAACTTCTTAAACACCCTACAGGTCACAGTGTAACAATCTGTAAACATTGTAGTTTGAAGGTCACCCATCAGCATGAAATGATGCTTATACCTGACAATAGATATGTTAAGACTAGCATTAATTAAGATTTGGCGCAGTTGTCATTAGACAATAACATGAAAGATACACTCCTTTTGTGATCCGAAAGGTGAATTACAGGGGGAAATGAGACATCAGTGTCTTCTTTCTTCTTTGTATCCATTTCTGGTCTGTATCCATATTCTCGCACATTCATTTTGAGAAAGATGAACAAAGCATAGAAGAGGAATTTGATCCTGGAGGCACTTAACTCATCCATGGTTGGTCCCCATGGCTTGTAGCCCACCTGCATCTTCCTCCCCCAGCCCTCACTATAACTGGAGAATGAGGTGAGCACAGTCGATAGGTCCCTAATATTGGAAGAAGAATGTATCAACTGCTGCATATATATATATATATATATTTCCAACAGTTTATATATTCAAAATTCCTTTCTAATAATACTAACCAGCATTTATTTTTACTAAACATTTTAATAAATCCTGACATATTATGGTATAAAAACGTATTCAGTATCTACCATATTTGAAATTGAATGTTACAGAAAATGGTGTGGTCATTATGGGTTAAAATGTTTAGCCTGTTGACATCTGATTATTCATGGCAAGGTTTATCTGTAAGAGTGGTCCTGCACATTGTAGGATAAGCACTGCATATTGCAGAGGAAACCTTTGCAATCCTGGTCAGATTAAAATAAATGTCACCTATTCAATGTAATAGATAGGCAATGCTGACATTAAAGGCTTATTCCAATGGCATCTGCCCATAAACAGTAGTTATACACCAAGGTAACAGATTAATCAAAATAAAAAACATGCTGTGACTCAAAGATGGATGGTAATCATAAATGATGCATCATGCACTGACGAGTCTAATAACCATTTTAAAGAATTTATCAAAATAGCATAAAATAGCACTGAGAAATGTTATGCTATAAAATTATTGGCTATGGTAACTATATAGTGTATTTAATATATTGGCTACACAATTGCAAATATATTGTAATAGATTCTCTATAGATTCTCTGTACAATGTTTAAAATTCCAGGAGTTTCTTGAACATGACGTATGATAATAAAATTATTGAAGCGCCTCTTCTAACATCTTTTTTTGGCTTTGAGCTACCTCTCATTCAGAGTTGAGTTACCCCATCTTTTTTTTTTTTTTTTTTTTTTTTTTTTTTTTTTTGAGCATATGGTAAACAGGCAGATTTGCGCCGCCACAATAGCTGGTGCAAACACAGTGTTAAACATATGAGTATATTAGTGTGGCATCAAGAACTTTGCACATTTTTTTTTTAAATAAACAGAATGTATCAGAGACAGGCTAGGTACGCTTATCTGAATATTTGATAAATATTTAGCTTTTCTATTGGTAGAGTACTTCAGACAAGAAAAGTGCTTTGTAGGTATGAATAATAATAAACATGTTAGGTAGACAGGAAGATAAAGATATACTTTAGGCAAACATAGCATGTGTGAAAACCAATAGTGCCACCGAGAGCTAAGTAAGATGGTTAGTAATAGGAGTAGAAATTAGCCCCTGACGCTTAGACTTATTGCTTAACTGATAGTAAGACCTGTCTATCTACTCAGCCGATGCCTTTAGTTGGAAGGCTACCGGCACAGGAATGGCAGGGTCCATTGAGCTGTGAAGGGGCACTCCACCGGCTCCAAACATGGATGCGATCTTGCCTCTTTCCATCAGGGATCCATCCACAGGTGGCCCCTAGAATTCGGCCTATTGAAAGACCCAATATGAGTGGCTGGCTCTGTGGAGCTGGAGTGCTCCAATGACATGGCCGGCGCTTGCAGGTAAGGTTAAACCTGGGATGCCTTGTAGGTGTGCCGCAATGGGGTTTGGAGGCAGGCATGCTTCGAGGAGTGTTGACTTTAGCCTCTGGTATAGCAGTTTTCCTGCCCATGCTGTGCATGGTTGCTGAAGTTTAGCAGGATCCAGGCGGTTCAGCATTTTGGCCTGGGTTGTCTTGTGGGAAGAGTGTGCATTGCTCGGATGTTGATTCGCTCCCAGAATTTAATGCATAGGTCATCGAATGCCAATATGATCAGGTCTGCTTGGCTAGGTATCAGCCGGTTAGCATGCTTCAGAGCACGTGGTATGTTGTCGGCCATCTTGAGGGGCAGGCCTCCGGCTCTCATGGTCTGTGTGGTTAGTAAAGTCCATATAAGTGGGTCACGGTGTGCACCCGGGGAGACCAGGATAACCCCACCGATTCAAAGGGGAGGGAGAGAGAGCCCAGATGAGGCTTGGTTCTAGCTCCAGCAGGGGATGACCCTCATCCTCTGCTTGCCGCCCGCTCGCAGACCTCAGAACAGTCCAGAATGGTCCACGATTGTCTGGACCACTAAATCTTAAATTCGTTACTTTCATAAAGTATTCCTTGAGTAGGTATAGCTGTGACAGGTGAAATTTAGACAGGTTTCGGTGGTTAATCATTGATTTTCAAACTGATTTCAAGGAGCTCCAGCCATGTGCGACCTGCTCCGTTGGCAGTCAGGCCCCGCCCCTCTGTTCCCCCATCTTGATACAAAACCTCAAAAATTCACAGAAAATATCACATGAGAAAAACGATAAAGATAATAAAAAGAAAATGATACAGAAAAAACATAGATAACAACTGAAAGTCTGTTTATTCGTCATACTGTGTTATAGTGACAAATCGTATTAATACTTTGAAAGCTCTCACATCTACACCAATAAGAATTATTTCTTAAATGTTTTTAGAATAACATATATGCTGTATAAAGCTGATTTGCGTTACGTGACTTTTAGAAAAACCTTCCAATCTAAAGTATATTTGTAGATGTATTCTATGTTTTAAAATATTTATATTTTTATATAACCTGCAAATTATAATGAATAATTATTTTAATGAATGCTTTGTAAAATTAAAGGATTACTCCAAGCATCATAACCTGTCCCCAGTTCCTGGTAATGGGGCAAACCGTTTTGCCCTCTTACATGGTTCACCTCGCTTCTAGTCTATTTTAAGGCTGACTGTGATATGCATATGACTTCTGAAGAGCTCAGCCATTCATTGGCTGAGAGCATCAGCTTGCAGTATTCAGCCAACAATTGCACTTCTGTGTCTAGTTCCAAACTTGCTGACAACAACCCAGTGCCCCTGCCGGGGATGGATTTACACCTTCGGCAGTAGAAGTGTTAAAATCTGTATGTGCATCACTGAAGTGGTCATGGTTATTGGAGCAACCCTTTAACTTCTTAATTTTTAGGGGAGCCGTTAACATCATTATAGTATTTCCTTCAGTTATTTCATTGACACACATTAAAAATTAAGCTGACATACAGTATAAGCACACCAAATTCAAATATAAGCTACAAGGCTGCCTAGTTTTCATATACTGGTTTCAACTTATTTTATAGTAATGCAGTTATTGATTTAATCGGACTTTCTTCGATAGTATTTTGTCTTTATAGATTTCCACTTCTATAGGGACAAACTCTTATGATCACATCAAAATTATTCCAGACTTATCAAAAGGGCAGGAGAAAACAAATCCACAAGACTGTGAGTATCAACTAATGCCATCATTTAACTGGCCTATCCACAATCTTTTAGAACAATAAAATAAATGTTGTCAGCAAGCTTGATTCTGGATGCATTCTGGATACATTTGAAGCTTAGCTGACATTTTCCCATCTTCCTAAAGCAGCAGAGGATCTGGAAAGGGGTGCAGGGTTGTCTTATACAATGATGCGCACAGATAGAGTATCTTTGATTCTGAGGATTAAGATGGATTAGCAGAAAATAAATAAATATCAGTGAAAATATACGAGTCTAAATTCTAACTACCACCAGACAGCAATGACATTAATTAAACCTGTAGCAAGAAAAACACTTTTTCCTTTTTTTCTCCAAATTCTTATTTATTTTATTGTTTCTCACTATTTCAGGAAAGTTTGTAATTCAGTGTAATAATCTAGAAATAAAAGCATTTTGTGCTGTGTTGCAAAAAGCATTCTGTGTCATTTGATGTATTATTCTGCTGTTGCCATATTGAAAACATCAGATTAGTCACGACATATCTGAAACATTTCACCTAAAGGCTGTACCATCAACAAAGCAAATGTATTTCATCAACATCTCACAGGTAATGGGCCAAATTGGGGGAGATCTGAGGAACTCTCCTACAGCCCGTGATATTGAATAGTGAAAACTGTGTGGCCAGAACAAGCAGATGTTTGAAGGGGATGCTAAAGCATTTACATGTCTGGGATTACTGTTGCAGCATAGCTGAGAAGTACTCTAATACTCCAGTTGCCAGGCCTTGTCATGATTATCCCAGTGCGTGAGTGATGTGTGTATAGGATAGAAAGGCAGGACCATGGCATTACGTTATGTTCCGGACATCTAATGGAAGCATATAACTGATCTTGCTGTCTGGAGATTTTACAAGTTTAAACGCAGCATTTAGATAGTGACTATATGGATAGATGTTTGAGCGGTTGTGCATGCCCTGGCCCACTATGTAGGCAAGGTCACTGTATTATAGGCAATTATGCAGGTAATTGTGCTCACCTAATTGTTTCGTAGATAGGCAATGCAGCATAATGTCCCATTAGTCAACTATAAAAAAATCAAAAAAAATTAAACGACCACTAAAAAACATGGGTTGTGGAGGAAGCAGTTGAGTATGCTACCATACCTTTAAAGCAACTGAACTCTGAAACCAATTGATTAAGAATCACCGTGTTTGCCCCATGATTGCAGTCTAAATTTAAATTAGATCACTGCAGGAAAAACACAGGCAAAAAATAGAATAAAGTATGTTTCTTGTTTGCTG